AGAAATATGATCCGTCATTTTTTCAGTTTGAGCACCAAGTCACGTCTCTTTCTCAACATTAATTTGAACAAATAATCAAACATAATAAAATGAAAATTTTTTTTACGAGAAAGCATCACAAACGAGTTAACGGATGAACTCGAATATAGACGAATAATAATTTTCCTAGTTAAATTTCCGATAATAAACTAAGACAAATAAATGGCATAAATATTGTTAATAATCGAAGTAAGAAATTAAAATAAGATACTTGTAAATAAGCTGCAAAATTAGGTATACAACAATTTTGTACAACACTGACTCTTGTTGCTGATAATTTCATCGTAAAAAGAGACATATCAAAGCTATTAAATGAATTATTTCGTATTTGTCATCGTTTTCTAATTACATGTATGATTACAGTTGTTGTTGAAACAATTATAAACAATCTTGGAATAAAATTATGTGCAAATCGTGTAAACAATACTACGGATGGGATCTACAATGAACATGGAAAGGCACAAAAAAGTGAAAACATATTAAAATAATTTTGACATGGATACAGAAGAATAATAATGATATTAACAAGAATTAGATATGCAAAAAGTTGCGAGAAAACATGGAATATAATAAAACAGAATTCGATTACGTTGTGTTACGAATAAATATGAATAAAAAACAAGTGAATATCTTTCTATGCCTACGGAAACCGTGGTTTTTTAGAATCGCGGTATGAAGCGGTTTCGAATGACTTCATTAGTGAATAATTGATGGAATATAGCATGCTTGCATAATTATATATTTGATCTTATTTTACGGATCAACAGTATGGTTTATATATGTTATATTGGTCATCTTCAATAGAGAGAGTAATCATCAGATTATATATATACATAGTGATGCTTGTAAAACGTTGTTGGGTTCGAGGTTAGATGGAAAAAAGAAAGCGAAGTAAGTTCGATTTAGTTAGAACATAACTGTGTTTTCTTTTATTTAACCAACTATATATATATGAATAAAAACAAAGAAAACACGTAAGAAAATAATGAGAGAATCATTTTCTTCATTCACAATTACATTTTTTGGACGATTTAACTGATCATTTCGATTTCCTGATTCATTACCTCTAGTAGTTACACGACCTTTCTTTGCTCCAATTTTCCATTTTACAATAAGATGATTACCATAATAAGCAATATACATAGTTTCATTCTCATCAATAGATATGCTGGATGGACGATTCAGTTGATCAAGTCCATTGCGAAATCTATTTTCTCCAGCTATTGTAATACCATTTTGTATTAACATTAATATCTAATACAATCAATGACTGTATAAAATATATTCCATCATACATAATAAATCATTTTCTCAATCAGTAGAATATGATCACTTATTTCTGAAGATATCAGTATTAATTTGAGTATTGAGCGGTACTGAACTATGTTTAATTCAAATATTTATTGGCTTATTTAGTTGTTGATTCCCTCATTGAAGATCATTTTCCATAAAGTCATTTTTCTTTTGACTTTCTTTAAGTTCTTTTGTTAACCCTTTCAGTCCCGGCTTTTTTTCAAGAAATTAAGCAATTATTTTTTTAGATTTTACTTTTTTTATTCGTATTTCATACGCGAGATGGAAAACAACTCCAACTAATAATGCAATTTTGTATGATAGTTTTTAAAACAAGTAGGAACACACAGAGGAGCTTCACACTCCGCACAAATATAAGTTGTTAGTGATCTTGTTTTGTGTGATGAACATACAACGCATCTTCTGCGATATATTCTATTCTTTTTATTAACACCAGGTATATGTGATGGAAAATGTCGTTCTGTGAGACGTAAGGGTGATGGATTATTACCTGGTCGACCAACCGAAGCTGATCGTTGAGATCCATATTTTTGAAAAATAGCACGAATAGTTTCTAACCGAAATTCAGAAAATTCCACTATATGTTGCTGCTGTATTTTATAAATTGCATAAGACTTGTAGGATACTAAATCTAATAAATGAAAAAATATTTTCTTATACCATTTAATGCTTTTTCTGATATATTCAGAAAAAGATATCTGCATCTCGACACCGTTGACGGCGCTCATATTTTTAGTATAATCAATAACACATACAGGTTTACAAATAATATCACCATTTCTGTTTTTTTTACCAGAATTGCTGAGCGATGCACCATGAATAGTTGACCGCATGAATACCACGAAATTGCATTTTTGATGCAAGACTCGGCAGCCCTCGCCGATTGCTTCGGACAGTGCCACAGGCTCCCGTTTTAGATCGGTGTAACAGATCAAATAGATTGGGAGAAGTATACCAGTTGTCAACAAATAAATTATGTCCCTTATACAGATAAGGTTTCATCAGGTTCATTACAACAGATCCACTAATGCCCACAGCTGGAATAATTCCAATATCTGTTGTTGATCCAGTGTATATAATGAAATCAAGCACTAATCTTGTTTGACAATCTACTATTTCGAAAAACTTCATTCCAAATCTATTTCTTTTGGATGGAATATATTGTTTGAATGCGAGACGACCTTTCCATAACATAAGACTTTCATCAATGCATAGATTTTGGCCTGGATTAACAGAACTGCTAAATTTGCTCTTCAATGCCATAATTATTGGTTTAATTTTTACAAGTCGATCAGCATCAACTAAATCATTGTTTGAAAAGTATAGAAAGCGTAATAGATCTTGAAATCGATTTCTCGTGAAAATTTGCATGAAAATTGGTGTACTACTTAGACGATCTGTGCTCCAATAATCTCGAATACGATTTTTCGGTAGGATACCAGTTAACATCATTGTTGCCAAAAAGCTGTACATTTCAGATAATGAAGTATCACTCCAACGTGCCATATTAAGTCTCTCACCAACTGGATTTTGCGACTGATAACGATTTGTTTCCGCAACGATAGAGTTCGCAATTGTTTCGTCTATGGAGGCTTCAAAATAATCCAATGGATGACTTGTTTCTGTTGTGGAAATTTTGATCTAAGGTTTGCCAGTGAATTCGTATAGAGTTCGAGAGAAACTACCAGTAGTCCATCGGTTGAGTCGAAATCGATTTCATCATTAGACGGGGTCCGCTACACTTTGCCGACAGTCACTTTGCCGACGCCGTTTTGCCGACTGGTACACTTTGCCGACAATCATTTTGCCGACAATCACTTTGCCGACAATCATTTTGCCGACAATCACTTTGCCGACAGATACACTTTGCTGACAGATACGTTTTGCCGACACATCTTTTTGTCAAAAATTCCAAAACACATATTTCTTCTTGTAACCATAGCCTGAAGTGAAGGATGCTACAGCCACCTTTCAGCAAACTATGCTACATCCATCATATCTTCACCTTAGCCCTTCCCTGCACCCTCGTTTAAGTCTTCCCCTACACCCTCATTTAGGTGTTCCCCTGCACTCTCATTTAAGTTCTGATCCTCAAAATAATGATGACTATAGAAGATCAGACAGAAAGATCCGTCGGCAAAGTGTATCTGTCGGCAAAGTGTACCTGTCGGCAAAATGATTGTCGGCAAAACGGTGTCGGCAAAGTGATCGTCGGTAATATGATTGTCGGCAAAATGATTGCGACCCATTAGACGACATATCTGATTGAGAGTCGGCGACGTTTTCATGACAGTTTGAGTTTGGTAATCTATTTGCCATCTGAAAAATAACTTCGTTTCCTTGTAATAATGAATACAATACAATAAAGAAATCATGGAAAAATTGCGATGTAAAACAGCTTGTCTCAAGATCCGGTGACGAGAAAAAACATGAATCTATTGAGTTTCTTTAATACGTAATTGACAAAAATATACTCAGTCAAGAAAATAGTGAATAGAAAGAAGATAAAACAGAGTAAATAGACAAAAACGATCCCATATGTGCATACCTATATATAATCACATAATCCAGCATTGCGCAGAAGGAAAGAAATGTATCGTAGGAAACAAGTAGATGATAACATGAGACAATTCAATATTCATAGAATACCACCAAAGAATATTCAAATGTCGGACGTCGCCAGATTTCGAAAAGCAAGAGATTGAGAAGATTGTACATGTGTAAAACAGTAATATTATGTATCAAATATTAGTATGAGTAATGCCTGTCGAATTATGAAAACAGTTTAGTTTCATACATTATAACTCAAAAGAAAAGCTAAGATGGCGCCTTAAGGCGCCGCCGGGACGGGAAGGGTTAATATTTTCATATACACTTGATTTCGCTTACGATCGCCCTTTGCAATATTAGCAAGAGATGATGATTAGGAAACATGTACCAGGGATACAGAACAAGATTACAATTTCTATAGCCTAATTTTATTTGTATATCAAGAAATAAAGATGTAGCACATGTTTTTGTCGAATCATATGTACATTTGAAATCATGAGGGGCGCTGTTGTTCTTTTCATTCATCCTCATCATCTCATGTCTGCTTCTTTCTATTCGAATTTTTCATACACAATATCTTTTGTACGAAAGAAAAATATAAGTAAAAACAATGTTTTTAAACGTGTCATTGGATATTTTCCTGTTGTGATTAAAAAATAACGAAATTTGTCGATGTGAGTTTATATTATTTAGTTAACGCGTCAACAAATGATGAAGAATCGATCTTTTGAATATTTCAAATAGAATCATGTTGGAGGATAAGAAACGTGATTTAACACATATTTTCTACTTTTTCCCTCGTACGCACGCGCCAATATCTCGATTCGAAAGTGATAAACAATCACGTATCTTATTTTATGAAATAAATCTGACACTATAATCTTGTTGAACAATAGTATTCAGATGAGAATCTTCGCTGATGACGATGCTCAGATGGCAAAAAAATTAAATCGTTTGAGCTTAATCAAATTGTTCTTCTCTGCGTTGATTCCATCCACTATGGGCCTTTTTACTGTTATCACTGCAATTGAACAGCAAAAACTGTCCTCTGCACAATGTGAACAAGACAAACAAGATGCCCTATTCTTGAGACAACAGTCTGATCTTCACGTAGAAAATTTGCACGATGAATAACACCAAAGATACGTTGTTGAAAATCAGTGCTAAAACATTGGCTACTCTTTGACCACTCGATGTAGAACGAAAAAAACATGTACTGTTGTTTCTTTATGATAGTGAACTAATTTATCATTCACCATAAAAGACAATTTCATCTGTTTTGAAAGTCAATGATACTGACTTCAATGGAATCTACTTTCGGGGCACAGTGGATGCTACCTATTCGTTTAAATATATCTACTTACATCATGTTTACTTGTCGAACGCATCATTTATCAATTGTTTGATTGATCATGCGAACTTTTCGTTTTCTATTATGTACAAGACCGTTTTTACCGAAACACGATTCGTACGAACATCTTTCAGACTTACATCATTAGACAAAGCAGATTTTAGTCAAGCGACATTTTTCCAGGTGGATTTTGTTGGAGCATCGCTAGTCGCATGCAATTTTAGCGGTGCTCGACGAGTTAATCAAAATACGGATTTTATAGGTACGAACCTGACAGGATCCATTATACCAGATGAACCATTGATAAGATCGAAACTGTATAATTCTATTTTGCCTAATGGAACATGGGGACCTATTCTAAGCAAAAACTTGGTAGTTGAGGGGTGGGTGTGGGGTGAGGGGGTGGGGTGCGGGTGGGGGGTGAGGGTGTGGATATGATTATAGTTCTTTAACACCCACCCAGTTTTATCTCACCTTTACTACGACTCTTACACAATCTGCAGTGATAACAGTGTGTTTCTATTCATTTTTGTTGTATAATGCACATCGTCGTATACTCATTCATCACATAGAAGAAAAGAAAAGATAATGCAAGAGTATATCAAAATGTATTGAAATAAGAATATAAAAAGAGTAAACAACATACTTATAGCGCATGTGAGCGAGATTGTCACAATGATACGTAACATTTGTAGATCCTTTATTAAATTTATTGAAAAAAACGTCGATTTTCTTTATAAATATAATACATCATTTTTATCGTTTTTTTCTTTTCCTAATTACAGTGTTAGGTTTTTATTCGACCTGTGCTTGATAATATTTTATTTAGTGTACTTAATATTTGAGGGTGTACTTTTTAGTTTTGTT